CTGCAACAGCCTAACGCAACAAAGCAAGAAAGCGACCAAACAGACCCACCAGGCCGACATGGTGGGCTGTCAAAACCCTCGACGCTTGCTATATTGCTTCTTGCGATCTGGGCTGACAGCTGTGAGAGGGCCGGAGCTCGCCGATTATCCTCACCAAGATGGGAACAGACAGGCCGGGTTTCAGAGAAGGAAAAATAGATGCGCGTCGGCAGTTTTCCGCTCAACCCCGGTTCCATCTCCTGGATCGCTTTCTCCGCCTCCCTGGCCTTCAACCACACTCCCATTATGAAATTGCAGTGGGGAGAAGCTTTTGGCTTTCATTAGTGCCACAGAAGAGACACGAAGGGGACGCGCAAAATGTATTTTCCATACCGAAAAACCAAAACAAACACTGCAATCGGAGGAGACATTCCTTCTTTCCCTCAATTAAGCATTCCCCGCCCCAGAACATCTCAGCTGCTGTGCTTTCTGACGCAGCAATGCACACGGACAGAATTCACGCTTGCAAGATCTCTTTTGACCCTAGGATCTGCACAACTCAGGACGGTGGCCGATCAGAGAGTCTAAACTTTGAAAAAAACACCCAAGAATGTTGCATGAACACTCGGCGACTAACTTCTCCTGTTTCACAGGCAAGCAATGCAGGCAATGATGCACAACTGTTTTCTCTTCCCTGTTCCTTGCAGTATTATTTGCAGCTTTTAGGAATTATCCACGAGGTACATCTATTTAGTTCCCATGGGAGGGAAATGTGTGGGACTGGCCACCACACTTGGCTTCTCCAGGAACTTTTGCTTTTTTCTCCAAGGTCTGGTGTAAAGCAAGGTTCTAGTCCTTATGTCCTGCAAAGGGATAGTTCAGTGCCCTCTCTCTGGAGAGAGATAGTGAGTGTGCTAAGAGAGACCACCTTGGGAAGATCAGTCAGCCCAAGGAAGAAGAGATTAAAAATCCCTCAGCAACATATGAAGCTCATGATTCTGCTTCTGAGAGAAGCAGGAATCCGGTTTTCAAATTAACTGTATGCAATCTGTATGCAATTCACTGTATTGTGAGCCGCCCCAAGGCTTCAGTGAATGCAGCGGCATAGAACTTCCCTAAATAAATAAATAAATAAATAAACCTGGTTTCAGCGCCATTATCACTTTTCATTCACTCTAGAAAACCAGAAGTTTTCTCAGGGGACATACTTAAGATTGGTCAGAAAAGGAAAGGAATGGAGAGGAAGTGAGCCCTCTTTGCTGGAGAGAGGAGTGGCTGTTTCGCTTGCATTTGGGGAAAGGGGAAGCGTGGAGAAGGGGCAGAAAATGACTGTTTTAGAATGAAAAACTTCAGAATGAAATCTGCAGGTTTTGTGAGGGTTGGGGCTCAACCTACGTGTTTCCACCTTTGCATATTCGGCAGCTTGCTTAAAAAGAGAAGCGAAATGCATCCATTTGATGTTCTAGGGGGCAGTCTGGAAATGAGATCCACAGGGGAAAGAAATGTAATGCTTTCTTAGCATGATAAGGAGAATTATCCTCCTGAAATTGTGATTTGTGGTGGGGGGAAGATACCCTACTGGTGCCAAAAGCATTAGTTCTCTTTCACCCTCCCAACCTCAACCAACCACTGAAGCCATTAGCATTCTGCAAAACCTGCAGGTTAGATGGCAGAAATGTCTCGCCTCCTTGCCTCCAGCCTTTAAAATGTTAAAACCTGTGTCTACTTCTTATCAGGAAACTATCTGGCAATGGCATGCAGGGATCAGCTCCCAAAGATGTATCATTTTATGTTTTTAAAGCAGCAAAGCAGAGTAAAAATAAATAAAAATGTAAGTCCATACAGAGAAGGAAACTTTTTAGCTCCAAACTGCAAAAACAATAAACAGTCATTGGTAAACAGCAAGAGAGGAGTTTTTGATGTGGGCCACACAGAAAAACTGCTCAGCTTTCTTAGAAAGAACTTCCGTTTTTGTTATCACAGGCTGGGGATGGGAAGCACCCTCAACTCCTTAAGTTTCTAGCCCTTATGGATGTGAAGCTAGGCCTGAAAAAGTATGGGAAATGGCTGGTGAAATTGCAGGGAGTTTCTGAATAAAATCTTGCCAGGTTTGTTATGTAGCTTACGGAAAAGGAGTTAAAGATGGCAGGTTCTTGAGACTATGCAAGAAAGATACTAATGCCAGTCTGGATTCAGTTCTGATAGGAGAAGATTTGCTCAAGAAGTTGATTGTCTCTTGGGGCTGAAAAAGGCAGACACGAGGGGCAAACTTCCCCAACAGGAAGGGTTTGTCCATCAAAAGGGGCCTATTTAATCCCCGCCTACCTCACAGGGTTGTTGTGGGACGAGATGGAGCGCAGCAGGAGGAGAATGATCTAAGCTGCTTGAGTTCTTTAAAAAAGAAGAAGGTGGGCTATTAATCTAATAAATAAATACATTTCTTGAAAAGGGAATAGGCAGAATAGAAATATAACAGCAGTATTTGGTAAATAAAACAAAATTTAGCCTGGCATTCCTAGCAGGGGGATAAAAACAGGAAGCTTCCCAGAAAACACTGTCAGGCTGAAGACAAACACACACGAAAACACATATTTCCCTTTTGGAAAGACCTCCCAGTCATTCGCCCGCCACTAATTACTTTCTCCCACGCCCAGAGAAATCTGGAGTAGCTCTCCAGCCCCAACAGTAAGCCTTCAAAGCTGCTCTTAAGCATCCAGAGTTTCTTTCACCGCTGAGAACGGCACAAGCGTGCTGTGCGCGGGAATTAAAGAAGAAAGCAGGGTAGGTAACCTAGTTACGGCAACCACCTTCTTGGGCAAAAGCTCGCCCACGAGGCTGCCCCCACGCCCCAGCCCTTTCTGTTATTCCCTCGGATCTGGGGAAAGCACCGTTCTCTTCAAAGCAAAGGTCAGGTTTCTCTTTCACTGCAGAATTGCTTTCCTTCCATGGGAACGAAAAGGCCGGCCCAGGAGGTCTTAACGCCCAAAGCAAAGGAAATAAGAGGCTTGCTTCTGCCAGCCTCGCCCCACCCGCGGAAGCCCACCGGGCTAGTTGGCCGCTGGGTGAGCCGAACGCTGGCCTCGACGGACCTTCGGCTTGATCCAGCACGGCAATGCCTCCTCTCTCTCCTTCCCCACATCGACCCCTCCCCGCCTGCTGAGATTTTGAAAGTGCTGGGGGCGGAGGGAAAATCTGGGTGGCTGGGTCTCCCCAGGTATCACCAGAAGGAAGACTCTGACCTCAGTCGCCAGGGAAAAAGCATCCATCCCACCAAGCTGGCCAAGGGGAAATGTAGGCGGGATCCTGCCAGCTTTGGGGTCCACACAAAGAAAGGACAAGTTCCACGAGCATCCATAGGGGGCCCAGGTTGTGCCCCCCGGTCTTACAAAACTGACCTGAAACTGCCTGGATGCTGTAATCTGTATCTGAAGCAGAACTGTGGCACAAGAAGCAGGGCCTTTTCAGTGGTGGCCTCCTGGTGCTAAGGGACAATCTCCCCACTGATGCTACAGCTCCACCTTTCAGCACCGGGTTAAGACCGCCCTCTGCATCCAAGCATTTAATGGCCATGATGGCGCCTGTAGGTCAACTGTTAGGGTTAGGGCAAGCCATCTTTTTGCCATGCAAACCATTTTGAGTTTTGTGCACTGAAATTTTACGTTGTTTTATTATTACCCGTATTTATGCTTTGTAATTTTATGGATTGTTGCGTATCACCCAGGCATAACCAAGGACAGCCATCTCTGATGGAACTAGACAGCAACACTATGATACTATATTCTGATGCCAAGTGGGCCAGCAAGTAAGGTCAGACTAATTCAGAAGTAACCCTAAACCAGGGATTTGAATTATGGGAACACGCATACACTGTGGTTTTCCATGTTTCCTGCCCCTCTGCCCTTCTCTTGCCTGTATCAATGAAAGATTGCAAATATGCCCTTCCTGTTTTGAATTAAATATAATTTTTAGTTGCATCCATACTCTCAAAACCACTACGTAGTGAAAAACAGCTAGGGCTATAAACCACCCTTTCACCCTGCCTTGCCTGAACAACTTAAAAAAGAGAATTTTAATTTTTAATTTTTTCATAATTACACTCAAGGCACAAAACCCACAAAACAAAGGCACAGAATGCAAATCAACTGACAGATAAAAGCAAGAGGGAAGGAAACACTCAATTCATAAAAATGGCATTTACGGGCACTCTCATTTGCTAAAAATCTTTCTAATTAAATTTTCCCTGCATGCATCTTAGCATCCTCCTCTTCCCCGATGATTCCTTTAATATAGGAAGAATACTTGCCACCAAAACTACACAAAACAAACAAATGAAAAAGCACTTTTGCTAATAGTATAAACCAAGCGTGTCTATTCAGAAGCAAGTCTTGTTGCATTCAGTGTGGTATACTCCTGAGAAAGTCCATGCCTGTGGCCTAAGCAACCTTTCATTAGCTCCTTGCTGTCAAAAGCAACTATGAACACACACACCCATATTATGCCTTTCCTCTTTTCTTCCCCACATAAAATATTTTGTTACAGAGACTACAGCTAAGTATTACAGCTAAGTATTGTCTGACCGCAGCAAGAAGACAAGCCAGAATAGCAGCTAATTCATCCTGTGTTATGTTTTGTTCTTTTTCTTAACAGGTACTTGATCTTTGAGGATCATTTTGGGGCATAACTTCCACCCGGGATGCTTTTGTGCTTGACTTTACGTGCCAAGACTTGTACCAGTCATACCGTGAGGCTTGCTGAGCGGATCAGCAAAACCGGATGCTGTTGCGACAGAAACATTGCGGAAAGCACGCCACATGCGAGCATCCCTGCGAAATTCTGAGATGCGTGGGTACTTTAGGCACGGCTCTGCCAGAAGGGCCCCCCCCCCCCGTGGGCTCTCGACGCGTGCACGTGGTCCCGCCTCCAGGCTCGCTTCTGAGAATCCCTGCCTTAGATCGGGCCCCAGGAACGCGAGGCAGGACGGCCACCCACCTCCCCCAGCGAAGGAAAAGCGGGGGACTCACGGCCGCGAGTGAGCCGTCTCGTAGCGCTCGAAGGCGTGGGCGACTTCGTGCTTGTTGCTCATGTAGCAGTGCATGCACAGGTCGTAGTCGAAGCAGATCTTGCACTTCCACCGCATCCCACGGATCCCGTGCTTCTTGCAGCAGTCGCAGATGATGTTCGGGTGGCGGACACCTAGCCGGGGTGCAAAGACGCGCCAGGCGCCATCAGGGCCCGAGAGGAGAGGAGAGGGGGCCGGGCTGGGGGCCCCTCCCTGCCCGGGTTCCAGCCAGGGGGCCGGCCGGCCGTGCCTCTTCAGCCCGGCCTGCCCCCTCGGCATTATTGGGCACCAGTTGCTGGGGGCATCGGGGGGCCGGCTGCTGGAGTGGCCAGTGGGGTCCGCCCGGAGAAGGGCCCTAAGCGGGGTGGCCCTGTTTCCGTGGGCCTCGCTGCCTCTGGAGGCCAGGCAGGCTTCCACCCTTGGCTGGCTTCAGCACCTGCCAAAGAAGCCTTCTTGTCTTGGGCGGCCGGCCATGCTGTGGCTTCGATGCCGCCCTGCTTTGAATGCATGTTCAGATTTCGTCGGACATACTGACCCGCGAGGGGTTCGCTGCCCTGGAATCTTCTGGGATACGGAGTGACATGCAAATGCCTTTAAGCATTTCTCATCATGTCGGTATCCTGCCTGTCTTCCCTCTGGCAAGGAACCCGGTGGCTTCTCGTTGTCCTCCCAGGGCCCTCCTCCCCACCTCTTTCTTCTCACAACAACCCTATGAGGTAGGCCAGGCCAAGAGGTGGTGAGTGGCCCGAAGTGAACCCTTGACCGAGTGGGGACTGGAAGCTGGGTTGCTGAGTCCCAGTTTGACACTAACCACTACACCACAGCGGCACCCCCGATTGACAGCTGCCAATCATCTGGAGGGCTTTGCATCCCCGTCCCCCCAAATTCTGGAGGCTGAAATGCCGCTCCTCCAATGTAGCTATGTTCAGGAAGAACTTCCAGCTCAAATCGGGTAGTTTGGGTCTTTTGCTCCACCCACCACTGGCATTTGGCCCCTGGAGGTGTCTCAGAAACAGAATTCAGCCCCCAACACGGAAAAAGGTCTTCCCCACCAGCCCATCTAACGCAGCCTTCCATTTCCTGCAGCGGCCAACCCACAAGTCCACCGGTGAGGCAATGCCCTGGCGAGGCACCCAGCCTTGATTGGACAGTCCGGGGGGCTTTCCCTCCCACAGGGTTTTCCCCAGAAGGTATTTTTATACTTCTGTAAAAAAATCAGCGTTCCCCCAAGCCTGCCAATGCCTCCCTCTGGTGCGTGGGTGCAGCTGTTTTGGCTGCATAAGTGATGGCACCCGAGCATCCGAAACAGAAGAGATGATGAGAAATGAGAGAAGCGTTTCCCCGCTCTCTGGCCCATTTGCACCTTCAAAACCCTAATCCAACCCTTCTGTGGGCCCCAGATAGCACCCCCCCCGCCCCTCTCTTTTTCCTCTAAGCAACGCTTTTTCGGTGGTTCTCCAGATCTGTGCCATTCTAAAAAGCTTCTCCTTACGTTCAAGTCACGGGCCACAGGAGCATTAAAATGCTGGAGTTCGACCCCAAACATTCTGCCTCCATGCCTGCCTACTGCGGCCCCCAAGCTCCCCTCGGTGCCTGAATTTGGGACTCGGGTTGGAAGAGGTCCTGCAGCCCAGACGGAAGCAACGCTGAACTAGAGGGACCAAGGAACTGAGCTGGTGCGGGGATGCGTCTCGCACGACAGCGAGCGACCGCTGAGAGCTTGCACAGGTGCCAGGGAAGAATCACACACCTACCTATTTGTGCATTATCATACAGCAGCAGGTCGTACGATCCTTGGAAGCCGGTCCGATAGTTGGTCCGAGTCCCGTGGTCCCACTGAACTACCACAGTCTTATCGGGGGTCGTCGGGCTGCCCTGCCGGCCGATCTCCACCACCGTCCCGACGTTGCCCTCGCCGTTGTCCTGGTTGCTCCATTTCCAGTCCACCCCGCGGACCACCCGCATGCCGACCTGCATGCTCGCATTGGGGTCCGAGTCCATCGCTGGGGGCGGGCCGCCTCAGCACGACCCCCGGCCAGCACAGTCACGGCCCCGGGGGCAAAGCATCGACAGAGCCTGCAGGAAATCCAAGGAGTCCAGCTTGAGAATGAGGCTGGGATGAGGGCAAGCGGGTTGGCATACGACAGCTCCTCCCAACCTGGAACCCTCCAGATAACGTGGCCTTCAATTCCTATCAGTCTCAGCCAGCATAGCCAGCGAGCAGCTATCTTGGGAGCTGTAGCCCAAAGCATCTGGAGAACGTCAAGTTCTTGTGTGCCATCCCCTTTGCTCTTCTGATTTTAACGCAGAAAGAGTGCGAGTCAGAAGGGCTCTCCTGGGCCATCTAGTCTGACCCCCGGCTCCAGCTGGCTCCACTCATGACATGCCTACCAAGTACATGTCCAGCCTATCCTTGAACACCCTCAACCACCTCTTATGAAAGCCCATTCCATTCCCTTGCGGTCCTAACTGTCAGGAAGGAGTTCCTCGCATCCAAATTGAACCTGGGATCCCTGAGCTTTGCATTACTGCTGCATTACGGCAGCTGGACAGGCATGTGCCGGGGATGCTTGAACCTGGAGTCCTGCACTAAGCAGAGGGCTGGCCTTGAGGGCCTTAGAGGCATGGTCCAACTCTACTATTCTGTGAGTTTTTAAAATGAGTTTAATTAAACCTACATGAAAAGACTGAGTATCATTCATTCCATTTCCACAAGATAATCAGATACCATCAGATTCAATCCAGGGGCTACTTCCAACTGGCTCTCTAGCAGGTAAGCAACTACAACTCCTATCACCCCCACCCATCTAGAGTGGTGAGCTCCTGCATCTGGAGGGCACTGCATTTGGGGAGGGCTGCAACTGAGGGAGCCTGGCCTGCGCCAGACTCGGAGCGGTCTGGGCGTCTTGGCCCGGCCGGCATCATGGAGGGCATCCCTAGACAAGAGCCACTTGGGCTTGAAGCAGCTCCTCGTCACTGAAAGCTGCGTGCCAGCCTGCCTCGTTCTCTGGCCCAGAGAACTGGGGTGGGGAAGGAGGAGCGGGAGCAGCCCTGGCCCTCCTGCTCTCTGGGAAAATGACAACGGCGTTGCATTTATACCCCACCTTTTTCTTTTTGCAAGGAACCCAAGGTGGCCCCCATAGCTCCATTGGGCCGTACAACCACCACCCTGTGAGGTAGGTCGGGCTGAGAGTCTGTGACTAGCTGACAGTCATCCAGGAAGCTTTGGAGCTGCGGGGCGGCTTGAACCCGGGTCTCCCAGGTCCCTGGCCCAACATTCCAGGTCAGGAGCAAGGCTGCAGTTTAAAGGGACGCAAGGAAGACATGCCAGAAGAAGCAGAGTATGTTGGAAAGCCTGTGGATTGGGCTGGCTTAAAAGGCTGCAGGTCTGGCATCAACAAAACCCAAGACTAGGCGCCAATACCGGGCAAGACCTGGGTGCATGAACCCCCAACGAGTTTTATTATATCCCAAGCAGGCATGCATAGCCCTAAGATCGAGAAACCTTTCTGTTAACACATCGGTACACAGAACTTTCCACAGAAGTCTGTGAGCAGCACAGCCCGAGTTTCACCAACGTCCTCTGTGTTCAAATTGGTGAAATGTTTTCCCCCCAGAGAACTCAGATCTGGGTTTTTAAAGTTCCTAATTATGTAGTAACAGAGGTGTCCAGCTTCCTGCTAGACAGGGTGAAGAAAAAAGGACGTGTGAGAGAGAGAATGAGAATGAGGGGGGGGGGGGAGATAAAAGGCACAGCAGAGAGAGGGAGGGGGTGCCCCATCCACTTTTAACTTTAGTCTCACTCCCACTAGCTTTAACCCCACAGGGTCCGCGAATCTGCAGAAAGAAACTTTTAGAGAAATTACTTATATTTTCAAACAAGAGTCTGCCTCCCCTCTGTGAGCAGACGGTCTAAAATTAGATTCGGAACTAAAAATATTTCTGCAGGAGACAGTGAATGCATCTTGTCCCGTTCGCATCGTGTTGTCAGCAACATTTCACAAGCCCAGCCCGGGCTTTGATGAATGCGGCATGAAACACAAGCAAGAGAACTATAAATTAAAACCGGGGGCGGTTGCCACGGAAGTGTTTCAATTCAAGGACCTGGTTTGGTTAAAAATAGATGGGAAAAGGTCAACGTTGCTCTCGTTGATATAGGCAAAGCTTTACAAAATGCCCAGCTTTGAGGCAAAGTTCAAGTGGAAATACATTTCTGTTGAGTGAGTCCATTTCTATACTGCCCAATGGTCAAAGCTCTCTAGCAGTTTCGAAAGATAAACGCCCCAAAATACAACTGGTTAGCACAATATAAAAGTATTGAGATACCAAAAAAAAAAAAAAGTTAAAGAATTAAACAGGAAATGATAAACTCGCCAGGACCACCCAAAGCCTTGCTTGCTATTGTCAAATGCCTGGAAGCAAAGGAAAGTCTTAAGCTGGTGTTTCGTGAGCCTTCCGCCAAAAAGGGCTTCTCCCTTGTTATTGTCCTGAATGTCCTTCAAAGGAGGAGGGCCTTCAGAATCTACGTGACTCAGGCCACAGCCTGAAATGTGGTTACTCACGAGAAAGTCCCCTCTACTTCCCCCTTTGCAGCTGGAATGGGAAGAGCTTCATCAGCTGCCTCTCTGAAGAAGGGGCAGAGAGATGGGGTCCATCCGGACACAACGCATGCAGCCTCCAGTCCCTCCGTCCAAGGCACCTGAGCCAGACCTGTCTAGAGGATTGTATGATGGAAGGGGAGGTAGGGGCAAAGACCACCTCTACACTGACCAGCCCTGCCTAGGATACCCTCTGATGAGCAGTTGGGCTGCGACAATTCCACTGATGCATTTTGAAGGCCGGCATTTGTGGACAAATGCCTGAGAAGAGAGGAAAGCCATGGCCCAGTCAGAGTGCATTCTGCAATTGGAGGGCCACCACCGGAAAGACCCTTCCCTTGTTCCCATCCTCCAAATCTCCCTCAAAGATGGCTCACGGAGAGGGGCTTGTGTGGCAATTGTAGTGACCAAGTAGGTTTGTACTGGACAACACTTAACCTTACCAGCCTCTCTCGGTTAGTCCCAGAAGCCAATCCAAGGAGATGCCACCAATGTTAGAAGCATTGTGTGCCAATTATGGAAAACAAACCTTGTCCTGCTACCAAACCCACGGTCAGCTACCAGCGATCCAAGGCTGAAATAAGGCACCGATGTCAAACACCAGCAAGAATGCTTTCAAAACACACGTGCAATTTTTGCTGAATATTCGCCACACCTTCATGCATTTGGAAGACATTCAACGGAAGCACTGACAGAGGGGAAAACATTCGTTTCACCCCCCTCAACTCGCCCTTTCCTTGAGAGTTGCCCAGAAAAATAATTTCACAGCGTCCTTGAATCTCTGGCTCCATAGGTGAAGACCTCTCATGGCTAAAGGGTTCCTCTGCTGGAGTTTCAGAGCATGCTGCTCCCCTTTGGTGAAATGGCGGGTGGGAATGTTTCTGCCTCTCCCACTACGGAGTGTGGCAGACTCAAGACCGGGCGGGGGCAAGATGGTGTTCCTTTGCAGCGGAAGGCGCACTCTGCAGTTGCCTAGCGACGTAAGAACATGACGTAAAGAAGAGCTCGTGAGGATGGGGCCGCTGGTCTGGCCGGGGCTTTGCGGTGTCCAGGGGCAAGAGAGCCAACAGGACTGGGAGCCGGGCCTGAGCGCCCTTCTTTCTTCAAGCTTTCTTCTAGGCCGAGGGTTGGTCCAGGTTGGCTGCTCCCTGGGCGAACAGGATATGGACGCTTGGCCTGACCCAGGGTTCTTCTGAGGTTCTTAAGGTGGCTCAGTGAGAAGGCCCCAAGCAGGATAGGACCACAACGGTCCATGCAACTGACGCACACCGCTGCTCTGGAGGCGGCCCCGAGCCGTCCGGACTAGTCTGCTCCTCCAGGAATGTGCCCAGTCCACCCATGAGAGCCGAGGACAACCAGCTCCACAGGGCCACCACGTGCTCTGCAAGGTCCGTCCTTCCACCTGTCCTGGATCTCTATGGGATGACCCAGGGTTTGGCGATCATGGAAGGAGTGGGGAAGGCTCCCCCTCCTGCACACCAAGCGTAATCTTGCACGCCTCTTCCACCTCTCCCAAACCCCGTCCCAAACGCTGCAACCCGTCCCCATCGGGGAGCTACCACAGTCCCTGGATAGTCGGGGGTGCACTGTTCTGCACCACAACCCCAGTGGGAACGTCCTCATTTCGCATTTCACACCTCAGCAGGGAGACGGTGCATGCAGAGCCCCCACGGGGAACAGATGCAGGCCCAGGCAGCCTTCCCCATCTGGGGCTCTCCAGAGATTTCAGCCTCTCCAGATATTTCCACTCATGCTGACAGGATCCGTAGTTCAAAACATCGCAGGGGCACCAAGCCTGGGAAGGTTGGGCTTAGGTTAGGCTAAAAACCAGAAACAGGCTTAGCATCCTGATGGAACGGCAAGCCACTGTTTCTGAGGACAGGGTCTGCCAGGAACACTGGAATTCTGCAGCAGAATGCACTGGGAGACCTTCCCCAGCCTGCCAGCAAACCTTTGTGGCCTCTGTCCCTCGTTTGAGTAGAAACGCACAACAGAACGATCTCTTTCCCTTTGGGCACCATTTCTTCTTCCTACCCCGAGAACAAAAATGGAAAGTAACCAATTTGGGTGCGTCGTGAGAAGGCTAAACTCCCTGGAGAGTCGGGCTGGGGAAAGTTGGAAGCAGAAGGCCCAATATAATATGGGACAGACGGAGCCCGTGCAGGGAGCCCCTGCTTTGAATTTAGAAGAGCTGAGTGTGGCTGTTCGAGAAAGACATTTTGGAGGGCTTCTGTGCATGGAGTCACCTGGAGGCGACTTGGTGGCACATCAACGAGCCCCTTCAACCAGTTAGCCATTACCTTTAACTAAGGTCAGCCATTTGTGAGGCAGATGGAGCAGTGTTTCTACTCCCTGGAACATAGGAATGCATATATTGTATTATATTAGTGACAAACAAGACCTCTCGATAAGCATGTTTCATCCCTGACCACTGGGCAACCTGGATCTGGCTCTAAAAACATCTGGAAAGCACCAGAC